TTTCTTTGATCTTGTTATTCCCACTTTATCTCTAAGCGGGAGGTTGGAGAGTGACACTTGTACTTGGTAATGGTAGGCCCTACGTCTTTTCTTTCCCTCGTTTTTTTCTGTCTATAAGTATACGCCTCTTTTATACGATTATTAAAACTATGTCTTCCTTCTTCCTTTCACTGTAGTTTGTATTACAATTATTGTGTCGATGAGCTTGCCTTCAACTGTATTGTAGACCTTTCATTAAAATATGAGTAATAGATGTACATGTATGAGTACATGTAATAGATGTATGTATTTCGACATTTCGGCCTGCATGGAAAAAGCAAGAAACAGCCCCCCCCCCAAAAAAAAAATGTGCTTCTGTGCCGTAGGTGGTCTAGTGGTTAGGCTACCGGACTCGTAATCGTGAAGCTGCGGGTTCGGGGGTTTGAGGCCCAGGCCCTAAACGTTGTGTCTTTGAGAAAATCACTTTACACGAATATTCTTCACCTCACTCAGGTGTGAATAGCTACTCGGCCATAGACAGTAGACAGCGAAACATCCTGTCTTGTCAGTTTGTTAATCTTTTAGCCTTCTTCTTTCCAATCAAACATCTAGATCTATCGTCCTTATCTCCGCTTCTTCTTTTTTATGTTTGTCTCTTCTAACACCTCTAATCTTCTGGCGCTCATATGACCTTAGGCAGTTGCGAGCGCCGTAAAACCTCTACTAAAACTAAAATCTTTTAGTTTTAGCGACTGTACTGCGCATGTTTCTCAGGCAGTTGAGATTGTTTCAGAATGTCATCAGGTTGTTTTTTAAGTACATGATGTGTCTACATGTAATACGACCCATCGACGCAGTTGAGATCAAAGAGGGTGGGCTTCCGACCCTGCCTGTCAAGGTCAACCTGAACCGAGAGAGATATGACATCCCAGCAGAAAGACCAGGATATTATACTCGATTAAAAAAAAAAATGTTACCCCACTCGGGACTCGAACTCTGGTCTTCTGCATGCAAGTCACACGCCTAAACACTACATCCGATGTCGATTGAAAGTTAGCGTACTAAATGTATGTGTATACATGCCCCTCTTTCCTGAGCTTAGAGCTCATCTGACGTTTTAGAAACAGTTTTACGGCACTTGCAACACTATTAGGTCAAATAAAATGAGTGCCAAAGAGGTGTGACACAAGCCTGAAAAGGGTAACAAACAACAATGGCTAAACTAAAAATGAGACACCAGGACGGTAAATGTCCGAAAGGAAACAAGGAGAAAACCACAAAAGAGCACCTGCAAACCACCCTCAAGCTAAACCGAGCTTGGAATATAAAAAAGGTCCGCGGGTTTCTTCATCCGTAGAGGAAAGCCAAGGTCAGGCCAGTCCTGCCAAAGTTCAAGTGAGACAAAGCCCTTCCACTTGACCAAAACAAACAACAGGATTAAGCGATGCAATTGTTGACTGCTGGTTGCGACATATATACATTGTTATTCTAAGTGTGTGTGTGTGTGTGTGTTTATGTGTATATGGGTGTGTGTTTGTACGTGTGTGTTGTGTGTGTGCGTACAACCACCCACTTAGTAAGTTTTACAGCACTTTCAACACAAGGTAAAATAAGTGCCGTACATTTAAGATGCTACTAGTAGGCCTACTAGAGAGTAACATACATTGAAGAAAAGGAGGAGAGATAAGGACTATATATTTTTCAGCTTTTGTAAAGTTTTACAGCACTACAATAAGGTTAAAAATGTTATACAGTGCTGAAAATTAGAGGTGTTACAAGACAGTAACAAACACAAATAAAGGAGGAAGGGATATAAGGACGACACATGTTAAATAGGAAAGAAGGAGCAAACCATATCAGAGTTAGTTTTAGTTTTAGTAGAGGCTT